CAGCCAGGCTATCTGGTTTTATTGCTGGCTTTGCAACTGATTTACACCCTGACTATAGTATTTTTTTCTCTGCTGTAGTATAAGCAAATTCATGCCCTCCTCGAGGAGATGGCCAACAGGGAATACCACAGTACTGTAGCTAGAAGTTTTATGTTTTCTTTCCTAAATTCTCTTCCACTGGTCAATCATCTATCACTTGTAATGGAAAAGGATAAACCTAGGTAATAGGTATTTCAACCATCCAGAAAATATCACAGAGAAACTGAAGAGAATGTGAGCAATTTCCACACTAGGGTGGGTAGGAAGTTCAAGGGAGACAGTTTATAATCACTTACGTTATTGATCATAAGGTGCATTATCGTTTTTGGAATCAGGTCTCGGATACATTTGTTGATGATAGACATGTAGGAGTCTACGAGGTTGCGGATGGTCTCCACTTGCCTCTCCAACTGAGGGTCCATAGAGAAGTTTTCTGCTTGGCCATTTTCATCATTTTCAGTCTGACAGAAAGGAAAGAAAACATGGATTATTTCCCATTTATTCAGAAGGAAAAAAGTACTGGACACTGTCAGATGACTGACTCCTGTTTACTGAATCTGGAGTCTTACTACTAGATGGTAACATCTTTACCTTATCAAACAGCCATGAATTCTGAAAAGAGATCAGAGTCATGTAGTCATTGCTCTACCTTGAGCCTGCCACAACCTAGGAAAAGCAAGTATTGTAATTCTGAATGAATGTTTATGAATGTTTAGATGAATAACCAGATAAACAGTGCACCTAACAACAGACCTCTAGAGAACAATCTAATCTTCAGCCATTTGCAAACTGGCCAGAGAACTGAATCCAAACGTATGAGGCAGATATAAACCTCTCCAGGGATTCTACAGATTAGAAATAACCTTGGTGTTGTCCTGGAACTCCTAGGTCTGCTCTGAAATGGATCAGCATTCGGATCAGCTTGGATTTAAAAGCAAATCTCCTAGGCCTGGCCTGGAGCCAAAATAAGAGATATAGAGGATAATTCATTTTTCCATGCACTTGCTGGAATTTGTTATATAAACTCATGCTTCTGTCATCACTACTAAAGGCTGGCTCCATTGTGAAAAACTTTCAATTATAACTTCCAACTTGTTATTCTTTGAATAAAACAGAACACATCTATACACAAAGAATTTATTTGTGCAACATGAGAGAAGCATCTGTTTCCTATACTATGCAACTTGAGTTAATTAATTTTGGCTTATCCACCAGAGGCTGGGCTGGAATGGCATCTTCATCATTAAGGGCTGACCTATTGGCTTGGCATTGAAATCAATTTAGAACAAATGGTCTCCATTCCAAGTCAGGTTGAACCATCTAAGCCCCAGAACATGATACAAATATTGTTAGTGGTCTGGCTACTTTCTAGCATTTGGAAAGATTTAATTATGAATGCAAAAAAAAGAGGGGGAAGGAATAATTTATTGCTTCCAATGCGGACATGAAGTACTTTTCTTTGGAAATGTACATACTTTGATTTGCTAGGTTTTCAATCATCCAGTCAGTTCCTGACAAAGCACTCTGCTGAACAGTTTATACGGATCTATAAATGACAAGCTTAACTTTGGATCAATACACATGTGCGCAAGGCATATTTGTAGGCCGCAAAATCAACCATAACAAAGATAGATGGAAATTAGTTCTAAATATTTACATAGACTTCTGTTGCTCTTTTAACACCTTAAAAATATTAACATGTGCTCACTCTAAAACACAACAATCATTGTCCAGTACTAAGAGTCTGATGCCATACTTCAGGGTGACAACTGGAGGACATTCTGGGGCATCTTACTGCTACAACAGTAAGAGAGGGGATTGGAAGTTTATAAAAATGACAGTTGTTTCAAAAGTCCATGAACAATTAATGCTGGAGAAGGTGTGGAGAAAAGGGAACCCTCCTACACTGCTGTTGGGAATGTAGTTTGGTGCAGCCATTAATGGAAAACAGTATGGAGATTCCTCAAAAATCTAAAAATAGACCTACCATATGATCCAGGAATCCCACTTCTGGGTATATATCTGGAGGGAACTCTAATTCAAAAAGATACATGCACCCCAGTGCTCATAGCAGCACTATATACAATAACCAAGACATGGAAGCAACCTAAATGTCCAATGACAGAAGACTGGATAAAGAAGTTATGGTATATTTATACAATGGAATACTACTCAGCCATAAAAAAGAATAAAATAATGCCATTTGTAGCAACATGGATGGATCTAGAGATTGTCATTTTAAGTGAAGTAAGCCAGAAAGAGAATGAAAAATACCGGATGATCTTACTCACATGTGGAATCGAAAAAAAAGAAGACACAAGGACACTATGAACTCATCTACAAAACAGAAACAGACTCACAGACATAGCAAACAATCTTATGGGGAAAGGGGGTGGGAGTGGATAAATTTAGGAGTTTGAGATTTGCAAATGTTAGCCACTATATATAAAACTAGATTAAAAAACCACTTTCTTCTGTATAGCACAGGGAACTATGTTCAATATCTTGTAATAACCTTTAATGAAAAAGAATATGAAATGAATATATGTATGTACATGCATGACTGGGACATTGTGCTGTACACCAGAAATTGACACATTGTAACTGACTGTACTTCAGTTAAAAAAAGAAAAAGACAGTCATTTCCTATACCATTTCTTTTCCAACGGTTTGGTCACCAAAAGAAAGAATTCAATCAGGTCTTATGTAGTCATGATATTAGCACAATAGGACCTGGGATAAATAGGTAAAAAGCCATGGGAGGGAAAAAGAAAAACAACCAATCATGTTCCTAGACTTCTTTCCAGGGCATAAAAATCACTGCAGTTGTGCTCCACGCTGAACTCAAGTTCTAAATATCGGTGGTAACAGCAATATCATTTTAAGAATATGTACTTGAAAGTGAAAACTTCAGGTTCAAATTCAGGCTTTATCGTATACTGATTGTGTGGCCACACTTCACTTCATGTAACTGAGCCCCAGCTTCCCCATCTTTTATCTGGGGATACACTTTAACATGGGGAAAACTTGGAGAAGCTAAATGAGATAAGGCATATGAAATGACCCAGCCAAGGGCCTCATTGGTGCTCAATACATGTTAGTTTCCCTTCTTCCTTTCTGAATATTCATGGAATAAGAGTTGAGAGTTACCTGAATCCCAATACACATTATGAAAATTTAAGATGAAAAATTTGAGCATAAGACATTTTCAGTTCAGGCAATAAAAAAATGGCAAACTGTATTTTTTTTATACCTCCATGTTTCCCACAAGCTAAACCCCTTGCCTGGAATCTCTTCCTCCCATCTGTGAAGGCCTTTTTTAAACTTTCAAAACCCAGCTCCAACATCATCTCTTCTAGATGAGCTCCCGATGGCCCTTACATCCTCCGCCACTCCCCACACTGTACTTCATCTGTGTCCTGTACTACTTTTATTATTTAATACCAGCCTAGTTTTATGCTTCTCCCCTATCAGACTCCGGGGTCTTGTTCATCTCTCCCTTCTCAGCATCTAGCACAGAGCTTGCTGCACCAGCAAATGAGGAGAAGGGGAGGAGTTAGCACTACACGAGGATTCACCTAAATCAAGGAAGCTGCCTCTGTGCATTTCAGGGTCTCCAAAAGTGCCTACTTGTTAGAGAAACTGGACACCAGAGAAACCCCAGGTTGATGAGTTAGGATCCACTACTACTTGATTATAGTGAGAATGATAAAATGATTATGAAATTATATATGTGTTTATATACACACACACGCACACACACACATATAAGTGAGAACACTTGACCTACAGCTTTGTGAGGAAAACATCTTTTACATAAAGCAATATTAATCTCCACAGTGGATACAATTCAATTCAGTTTGTCTCTCTGATCTGAAACATCCTGGGATTTTACTGCTGGATTTAACGGGCGGGGACGACAGCATTTCAGCCTCAACATACTACCTCTCCCAGGAACATTTATCGAGCACTTACTGTGTTCCA